GGACCTAGCCGACCCCTTATACGCTTTAATGGCAATCCCAACTAGCCGACGCGTTTCGTCTGCCCACATCAATTTGTGTTCCCGCGGACAAAAACATGACCCAAAGCACCGGCACAAACACAGACGGATGTCCGTTTTCATGTCCGCTTTGACCCATTATTAGCCTAAATTTGGTCTAGTTTTTGGATCCGCACAGACACGTCTCGAACACCCGCGGCGTTCTCCTCTGACACGCGTGTCGGTGGCACGCTGGCCATTCCAGGCCTCCTAGGTTCTGACCTCTTCGCCACCTCCGCCCCCACCCATCCACCGCCTCTGCATCCAAGTTTGCCACACCCACTGCCGGCGTTGGTTCCACTTCTTGATGTTGATGGCGTAGCTCGTGGCCCGCACCCTACCTAGCGTTGTCGCTGCACTTCGGCACACCACCGCCACCTTCAGGGTGACCGCCGGAGGACATGGGGTCGCCATCCCTATTGCCTGAATGAGCCAAGGACTGGGCGGTCACTGGACAAGGCTCGTCCATGCGCGCCTACATGGTGTTCGCCCTTTTGCCCAGCCGAGGCTCGTCCACGTTCGCCACTGTCCAATCACGTACCGATTCACATCACTCAGAAGGATCATGGTGGATAGCTTAGATGAGTTTTTTTACAACAACTTCATATGTTCATCATCGACCGATTCTTCTGATAATGTGGTTGCTACACTTCTAGTGAATGACTGCATTGCAAGGCACTAGCCATTGTTCAAGGCTTCCATATTGGGCCATGCGCCTGGATTGCATCGTAATAGAGAAATTGGCCATGTCCTACTCTTGAACGGTTATTTCCGTCGGTCAAAACTACTATTCTCTGTCAAATTTTTAGTCTCTGGAAACAAACATGGAGAAACTTTTTAATTGGGATTAGAAAAAATAGAAAAAATCCTACAACTATAGAACCAAACACCACCTTAGCCACCGTCGTCCCCTCTCACCCTCTGGCCTCTCTTTTTCCTATACAAAACCAAACAAACCGCCAGCACAAGCACAAAGCCACCCGCAACACGCAACGGACAAAATTACTGTTCTAACCTATAGGGCTAACTAAATCCCGATTTGACCTCGTTCCAAAATAAATTTCGTTTCTGACCTTTTTCGGTGACGCCAAGATCCCTGGCGTCTGGGTTACGAAGCAGACGCCAGGGATCCTGGCGTCTGGCCCCTGGCCCGCACTGCCCGCGTGCCCGTTGACCTGCTGACGTGGCAAAGGGGCCAGACGCCAGGGACCCTGGCGTCTGGCCCTGGTAACAGAATAACCCTTGGGGTAAGTGTGTGGGACCCACCCCACACACTTTCCCCAATCCACAACCCGAGTTTGAAGAACACTTGGAGCTCTCACACTCTCTCCTACCCCTCAAGCTCCCCCTCAAATCCTCTCCAAAAGGTACATCCCTTAGGTGGATCTTTCCATCACTTTGTTGCTCTTGTTAATCTCCCCCAAATCATCCAATTATTTTTTGTCAAATCTTGTTATTTTGGTTGCATTTTATACATGTTGGTGGAACCCTAGTTCATGTTTTCTCCCTTATGTTAGTGTGAAAGGCTTGGTTAACTTTGATAATATAGTGCTATGCATGGTGTGTAGTAGGAATATATGCTTGTTGAGTAGAAAGATTGGGGGTTAGGGTTAGTTAGTGATTAGGGTTAACTTTGCTTAGTGTGTGTTAATTAGTGATACTTTTGTGGACATCACCAATAATTTAGTCTTGATATGATTTGGATAGAATTAGATGTATTTGGATAAACACACCAATTCTCATTGAAGTCTTAAATCCATTCATGTTATTTTTAGATGGAGAGACTTGTTAATGTTCATTACATGGACAAGGGGGCATTCTTGAGTAACAATGCCGACACGGGTGAGGAACCACTGGTTTTTGATACAAGCCCTAGCTATGAGGATGTTGTTGCAAAAGTGAGACAAGTCTTAGAGTGGATGGACACCAATGTTGATGTTAAGTTAATAGGAAGGTATGATGTTGGAGTTGGAGCCAAATCTCGCTTGAAAAGTATGCCTATCACCTCGGATTTGCATTGGGATGTATACAAGGAAAAAGTATCCCAATCGGAAGACAAGTCACTTGAATTGTTTGCCACCAAGGTTGAATCTCCTCGGTTTACCATTGATTTGAACCGGCATGTCTCTTCCCCAATGGATGACATGAGCGAGAGGACAATGGTGCCACTTGTTGAGCATAGGGTTGTGGTTGATGCCCCCAATGTTTATCCCCCAGCACGTCCCCGTGTACCATCTATCAAAGCAAATGAGGTTGAGTTGTATGCCCCCAATGCTTCTAGCCAACCACCAACTAGCCAAGCAAATGAAGTTGAGGTGATTGCTAGTGGCGAAGTAATTCAAGAGGATGAAGATGTTTATGATGACGACGAAGAGCAAGAGGAAGGGTTTCATGGTAATGATGTTGGTGACTTGCCTTTTAGGCGTCAATATGCGTATGACTCGGATGACGAGGGTCCAGTTGAACAGTTGGACGAGGATGGATTCACAAAGGAGGAGAACCAAATCCACTTTGAGCTGACGGGCTTACAAAAAAGAACTCACTTGTTTAAAGATCTCAGCCTTGCCCATAAAGCTATTGTTGACGGTGGAATGAGAATGACGGCGATTGAGCCAACACCATGCCCGGATCCAGGAGAACCAAGGGTGGAGAATGAGGACGAGAATGCTTATTTGAAGAAAGGATTGAAGTTTCTGAGCTTGCCTATGCTGAAGTTTTGGTTGGCTGACTATGCCATTCGAAACCATAGGCCAATTTATGTTGAGCACTCCGACATGAAGTTGCGTTACACCGTGGTGTGTGAGCAAAAGGAATGCACATGGAAGGTTCGTGCAAGAAAGCTTAAAGAAACCGAAGAATGGGTGTTGAAAAGTTGTGATACCACTCATAGATGCAAACCGCCATCGAAACGACTTAGAAAGACACACCGTCAACTCACATCTGAGTATCTCGGATACAAATGGATGAAAGACATAGCCTTTGATCCCACTGTGAAAGTGAGGTTTCTCATGCGGACGGTGAAAAAACAATTTGGTTATGAAGTCAAGTATGGGAAGGCATGGAAGGCAAAGGCAAATGCTATTAGGATGTTGTATGGTGGTTATGAAGAAGCATACAACCAGCTCCCAAGGTTGTTGGCCGCGATTGCACATAGGAACCCGGGCATGTTTCATGTGGTCGAGGATCACGAGGGAGTGTTCCACCGTGCCTTCTGGAGTTATGGACAATGTGTGGAGGCGTTTCAGCATTGTCGTCCGGTCTTGTCTATAGATGGCACGTTCTTGACCGGTAGATATAAGGGCACACTAATGGTAGCAATGGCGCACTCATCAAACGACAACGTGTTGCCGTGTGCATTTGCTTTGGTGCCTTCCGAGCACCAAGACAACTGGGAGTGGTTCATGGGTCATGTTAGGCACAACGTGATTGGGGCTAGGGAGGTATGCATCATATCGGACCGGCATCATGGCATACTCAAGGCAATGGGCATTGTTATTCCAGGATTTCCAAAGCTTCACCACAGATGGTGCATGAGGCATTTCGTGGCCAACTTTTACCGGGCATGTAAGAGCAAGGAGCTCAGCAAAGACCTTACCCATGTATGTGTGGCCTTCACCACCCAAGGTTTCGATGCTCGGTACAACAAACTCTTTGCAGCGGTGAATGAAGGGGGAAAAGAGTTCTTAACTAGGAATTTAAGCGAGAAGCACAAGTGGGCACGCGCTCATGATGATGGTGGTTGGCGATATGGCGACATGACGAGCAATCTCGTAGAATGTTTCAACAATGTGTTGAAGGGTGCTCGTGCATTGCCGGTGACTGCAATAGTGGAGTACACCTTCTTCAAGCTTAATGAGTACTTTCAGAGGCATTCTGAAGAGACTGCAAAATGGATAGGTGAAAAAAAGGATTATCCGGAAAAGGTTGATGAATGGTTGCAGTTACAAGCAAGCAAGTCTTCACGGCAACAAGTTATCATATTCGATAGACTTGAAATGATCTATCAAATTGATGAGCCAGGTGGCACAACACGAGACGGTAGACAATATGGTGGTGCTGCATTTGAGGTGAAACTGAAGACTCGGTGGTGCCAGTGCGAGAGGCCTAGTAAGTATCATTGGCCATGCTCGCATTTGATAACGGCGGCGAAGGCGATAAACATACATGTTAATGATCGAAAAATCGTAAGGATGCAAGAGTTCCATGTGGAAGCTACTAGGTTGACATGGGCGCCAAGATTTCACCCTTTCTTGGACCAATCACAGTGGCCTGAGTACCATGGCCCTCATATTAGGCCAGACCCTCTTCTGAAGGTGGAGACGAAGGGTAGAAGGAGAACTAAGAGGTTCAGGGGTGATATGGATGACCTGGCTGGATACACTGGCATGAAACAATTTGGTAGCGGTCATTTCATGGAGGCTGCTGACATTATCAACTGTGGGGTGTGCGGTGAAGGGGGACACAATGAGCGGACATGCAAGAATAAGAAAACCAAAAAAAGAAAAACAAGTCATGGAGGCGACACCGATGGTGAACGAGGTGGAAGAGGTGACGGTGGTGGTGGTCGAGGAAGCACAAGTGTCAGAGGTGGTAGTGGTGGTCGTAGAGGGAGCACAAGTGCTAGAGGTGCTAGTGTTCGTAGAGGGAGTACAAGTGCTAGAGGTGGTGGTCGAGCTAGCACAAGTGCTAGAGGTGGTGGTCGAGCTAGCACAAGTGCTAGAGGTGGTGGTGGTCGGAGAGGAAGCACAAGTGCTAGAGGTGGTGGTGGTCGTAGAGGAATGGTTGATAATGGATCGGCCTTCAGTTATTTGCTTAATCCAGATGGTTGATCTAATAATAATGGTATATTATTTGTTCATACAATTCCTAGCATTTATTCATTTACTGTATTTACGCATTTACTCTCTTTATGTCTTGTGCTAACAATTGTTCTTTTTGTAGGCATGGCTTCATCCGGTTCCAGGACGAGGCCGGCGTGCGCGGACCAAGAGGACATGCCGAAGACGTGGATGGAGGCCAGTTTGGACAAGGAGAAGGAGAAGGATGTGCCCACACCACCATGTTGGTGTGGTGATGTTTGCAAGCTGAAGGTGTCCACTGATCGCAACAAGTCATGGACAGAAGGTAGAAGGTTTTTCGTGTGTCCCAACTATGCACATGATCGTCGAAGGCCAACCAACGCATATGACATACCACCGGTATGTTAGGTGTACATACAAAAAACATCAACAAGTTGTCACTCATATGTCTAACAAAATCATGGTTTATATGTAGTCCCCTCCTCCACTTTGCAAGTACTTCACTTGGATAGATCACGAGGTACCAAAAGATGTCCAAGAGGACCAACGTCGAGATTGGTTACGGAGGCAGCGCCTATTCAAGGAGTCCTATGCACGGGGATTGGAGCAGGAGCGTCGCGAGAAGGAGGCTCGTGAGCACAAGAAGCGTGAACAATAGAGGGCACGCAAAGAGAAGGAGGCTCGTCAAGAAGAGAGGGCAAGAAAACTTGTAAGGGCTCGCGATGCACGAGAGGAGGACGAGGCACGTGACAAGAAGGGAAAGTGGCCCCGTACTACTCAGTAGACAAATGGAAAGGCACCGGCGTCGATGATGAACTGTCGAGACTTTGTTTAATGTATGAACTTGTTATTCGAGACCTTGTGTGGTCATGAACTACTTATGTCATTTGAGACATCGTGTGTGAACTTGTTATTAGGGACCTTGTGTGGTCATGAACTACTTATGTGCAAACTATGCTTTGTTCATATTTTTGTTTGATTTCCAATGTTTAAAAATGTGTGCAACAAGTTTAAAAGAGAGCACTTTGCCTAGTTTGCAAATGTGCACACCCAGACGCCAGGGTCCCTATCCAGAGAGCTTTTTCCCAGACGCCAGGGTCCCTGGCGTCTGGGTGTGCACTTATGCAAACAGGAAAAAAGCTCTCTGGATAGGGACCCAGACGCCCCTCTACCCCTCTCATCCATTCATCTTCACCCCACCTCTACCCCTGTCATTCCTTTCATCTCCACTCACTCTCACTCTCACCTCTAGCCCTCTCGTCCACTCACTCTCATCCAGTACCATAACCCCCCTCAAATCTCTGACGAATCAGTCCGGTTTCACCGTTGGATCTTCAGGATTTCGAAACTAGAAGGTAAATCAACTACACCCCCACTTATTGGTTGGTTTCAGGATCTCCAGTATCATAGTTTTGTGTAAACCCTAGTTTGTTTGTTTTCCTCGTGGTTTAATGTATCATAGGTTAGGTACTAAGAGATTTGTGTGTTGTAGATGGCTAATGGTACTCAGTGGGTGCTTAGCCCTGTTGTTCATGTCCAAGGCTTTTCTCCATGTGTTGTGCAAGTTAGTGAAGTGGACCTCACTTTTGATTGGTTGAAGACTAAATTCATGTTGAAGCAAGGGTTGAAGGAAGAGGATTTTGTGTACTACGTCAGCAGGAAGCAGTCAGATGGCCCCGAAGAAAGAAAATTGGTTGACATAACTGATGATGACAAGATTCAAGAAATGCTGCAAGAATGGAAATGAAAAAGGGTTGTTGACTTGCATTGCTACAGGAAACCGAGTTATATGTGATGTTCATGTCGTTTCAACTATCGTGGACCATCGTGGTCATGAACTACTTATGTCATTCGAGACTATTTGTGTAATTTGAGATTATGTGATGAACTTCTCATTCGAGACTATTTGTGTAATTTGAGATTATGTGATAACTATGCTTGTCATTTGCTATTATGTGAACACTAATGTTTGTCATTCGATACTATAGGTGTTTGCTAGAACAAAATATCTATGTCATTCCATACTATAGGTGTTTGGGTGCTAGAACAAAATATGAACAAAATGAAAAAAGTACTACACCAGGGCCAGACGCCAAGGACCCTGGCGTCTGGGTGCCCTGTTTCTGCTGTCCAGGACTCTGCTTTTGCTTCCAGTCGACCCCCGGACGCCAGAGACTGTGGCGTCTGGTCCCCTGACTTGAGACCAGATGCCAAGGACCCTGGCGTCTGGGACCCTGTAGATTATTTTGAACTTGCTGTTTGACACAAGAAGATAGCACATATATATTCATATGATAGGTTCATACAACACAGAAGATAGCACATTTCACACAACTTTCACCACGACAAATGTAAGCATACAAACGACAAGTTAATAGATTTTTCATCACGACAAATTCAAGCATACATAAGACACCAAGTGCATACATATGGTACCAAGTGCATACATAAGACACCAAATTCAAGACAACCTAAGAAGTTTTTAGCACGACACCAAGTTCATGCATACAAACGCCACCTAGTTCATGCACTTCCAAACAAGAAGCTCACTTCCTCCTTCCTCTCTTCACAATGGTTGCAAGTGTAGGCTCCTCCTCTTCGCTAGCCTCCTCCTCCTCCTCGTTGTATGCCTCCTCCTCCGCCTCAATGTTGGCCTTATATCTTTGCATTCCTGTTGGGATAAGCTGATGAGGATACTCCGGACTATGGAATTGTGTTTTCCATGTCTTCTTTCTACCTTTCTTGCCTGGTGTCTTAGCTATGGCTTTGCCTTTCCTAGAACGAGCATTGTCTTGTGTCGGTTGTGTAACCTGTGATGGTTGTGGAGCATCAACATCATACTCATGATCCTCTTGATGTGTTGCATCATACTCATGCTCCTCATCTTGTGTTGGCGCCTCTTGATGTGATGGCTCCTCTTCATGGACCTCCTCCTCCATGTCCTCATCGTTCTGGATATAACGCCGTCTATTAGCTCTGGCACGGGTACCAGGTGCATACACGTCACTGGACTGAGCACCATGGCAAGAAAGCATTGCTGCCATCTTATGGAACCACTTCTTGAACTTCTGCAACAACACAAAATATGCTATGATATGAGATACAAATAAATAATTCGCGAAAAGAAACTTTTATAATATATTGATCACACCTCCATCGTGCTCCTAAGAGTCCTCTCAAATAATACACCACCAGGTGGATGACTCAGTGCAACATTGGCATCGTTGACGCACAGAAGCAACAATCTGCCCTGCAATTCATGAACAAACCAAACTTATGTATTTGAAAGAAGACAACATGATGCATGCAAGTTTGTTAGAATAGGTCAAACAGACTACCATTTCATCATGCATCGGTGCATAGTCAACGTGAGCCCCTCTGGTGTCTCTCACAGCCGTGTTGAAGGTATGATAACCTTCTCCAGTCTCCGGGTCTTCAGACACCAACTCCGACCACTCCTCGTGAGTCCAACCAGGCTTTAGCTTTAACCGGTAACGATCCGCATACCACACTTGATACTTCTGATATGCTGACTGATTGTAAGGTCTATTCTCTGATTGCACTAGTGTGTCTCTTTGATTCCAAAATTCTATCCATGCACGGTGTTTGTTTGCCCAATCCGATATATCCTGATTGTTCCTTCGATCGAACCTACAAATGATGCACGGAACAAAGCATTAGCAAACATTGACTTATTCAATACTCTACTACATACTCAAGGCATGCTTGCTCACCGATGCAGAGATAGCATTTCCTCCTTGCTCTCCTCAATTGGAATACCTTGTCTTCTTCCAAATTGTCTTGCCACACGGTCTACAAAGTGCCACTTGACTGCGAAGAAGCATATCATTGGGCACCTCGCCCGCCAAAGATGGCTATCACGCGTGCACATCTCATTAAGATCAAAGTCACGATCTTCCACATAAGGCAACCAATATACCTGCAAAACAAAGAGATACATTGTTAGCTACAAGTTTCATTCTTGACTAAATTTTATCTCATCGAACTTCTCAAAACCTGCTCAGCATTCAAGGTGTCCAGCTCGTTTATATAGCACTTGTATCGCACATGCGAGCTTCCTGTGTAGACTGTCACTTGTTCCCAATAGTAAGCAAGCGTAGGGCGCCGATATGGATCATCATCATGCAACCCGTCATGATTACCCCGTGGGTTTGCCATGAGGGGGTTCTTGAATTCGGGTCGTCCAACCGGGATCCGCTCCCACATCCACACGGATAGGCTCCAAACAAACCCAGACAATGAGGATGTATCTCCCTTCCTCCGACACGCCAAGTCAAGCTGCAATCAAACAAACATGTTAGATATGGAGGCGCATGACAAATGCAAGATAAATGGTTGCAAATATCTCTTACCTGACGATACAAATATGCTAGTGCGGTCGAACCCCAGCTATACTGGGTATCCCAGTTATTGAGTAGCTCCAAGAACATCCAGAGGGCTGAGTTCCCAGTTGCATCTGAGAAGACTACCTTGGTTAGTACATACCAAAGATAGGCCCGCGCGTACTGCTGCACAACCACGTCATTGGCATCCTGAGGGCACGGATTGGTGTTTCCTCTGACCATTTTTAGCTAAGAATGCCTCACTTTCGTGGTATCGGCCTTGCCTTCCTGAGGGCCCTCGGGCTGAACGCCAATTAAATCGGCAGTCCGTTCTCACCAATTACCCACGCTGACACGACCGGTAACAGCTTGTCCGTTGATAGGAAGGCCTCTTATCATAGCCATGTCTTGTAGGGTCATCGTCATCTCCCCACATGGAAGGTGGAACGAGTGAGTCTCCGGCCTCCAACGATCCACAAGTGCGGTCAGCGCCGCGTGGTTCACCGGCGGAGCGCGTCGCTTAAACTGCAACACGAATGGGAGAAGACCCAATCTCCGAATGTAAGCCTCATACCGCGGGTCATAATCAAAGTCATCAGCGGAATGACCCCTCATGCGCATAGCAACTACTTGCTGCAAATAAAGTGATGTTTTAATAATCAATACAAGAACACAAATGAGAAACAACAAAAATTGACCCAGTCTTGCTTCTTACCTGTCCATTCTCAATGGCACGAGCACGATGCTCCTTATCCCACTCATCGATTAATCCGTCATACCAAGGACCATCACCATCCGCCATCCTACAAAACAAATCACAAACATCTATGAATACATGAACAATATCAAACAATTTCCTTCTCCAAGTTTATGCCATATGAAAACACCATTCTTCTCAAACATAACCACATCATTTCTTTTTTCTACATATGCACACATATCATCTAGAGTACCAAATTTCACCATCAAATAAATTTCATAATCATCATCCGCCATTCTATTGAACAAATCATGTCACACACAATAATCAAATTTCATCATCTCTTTTGCATAAAAAATTTGCCA